AAAGTCTGAATGTTTTTGCAGTTCAGTTGTGGAATTCTGAATGTTAAAATTTTGAAACTTTTACAATATTTAGTCTCAGTGTTTGTAAAAAACTATTAACTTTATAAAACTGTATATAAGCAAATTGAATTGAGAAAAAAATTGTACAAAAAATATGTAAATATTACTCACAAAACTAAAAACATTGAAGGAAAACAAACATTTTCAATTGCCTTGAACAACCATCTTTAGGTTAAAAGAATTCATCAATTATTCCATTCAAATCTAATGTTATGATTTAAAATATAAAAAGAACGTCAACTGATTGGCAGCCAGTGTTTGTGTGGTTGCATCCAGATGTAAAAGTAATCAATAGTCAGTCAGTCTGACTTTTTTACTTGGAGAATCACTGTCATGACTATATACAGGAATCAGAATTGCCAATTTGTGAGGGTCAGTTTCTCCATCCCTAAACATCTAAAGTTTATTCAAAAGATAATTGTTTTTCTTAGGTAGTGTGCAAACTTTCAAGATTTTCTATAAATTAGTTGCTGAAATATAAGCAATTGAAAACTGCAAAAATTGTCAAAAAAGCTGTAGTTTTGTCATCTGGCACTGCAGACATCTGTAGAAAGAAAAAACTATTGGGTCTAGAAAGCTCAGTAACTTAAACATTTCTTGTTATCAGTGAGGTGCTCACAATACTTCTAGGTTGATAGGTCAAAGTTCATGGGCTTATCCGTAGGGCTATTTCAATTTTATGGTTTAATTTTATGCTTATAAAGATAAAATTGCATCAAAACAAGTGAATATTATTCAAAATGTTACTCAGAATAACACAAGCTCAAATTTATGCAAACTAAAAAGTTTTAATTATTCTAAATGGCACATTGAAAGCATTGGTTGGCACTGACCAAATTGCGTATTTTAGGCATTTGATCAGAACCAATGAAATTATACGTAATCATATATTTTGATGTAAAATTACAATTGTTATCCAAACAAAAACATTTTTTTGTTTGGATAACAATTGTTTTTTTGGAGATGGTGGAAGTTTTTTACATCTTGGATGTTTTTGTTTGGATAAATAAATTTTCTAAAATTAAAAAATAAATATTTAAGACATTTATATTTTAGCAATTTATTTTTTAATATTCTAATACTACTATTTGCAGATTAATCAAAACTGGATATTTTACTCTTATAAAAGGAAGAGAAATGATGTAAACCCAGTAGTTCCTTCTATACTTGCTGCACATGGTAACCATCTAACTGATAAGTTAGATTTACCATCACCACATCTTATTACATTTGTTTTTTTTAAAATAAAATTCATTTAAATCACTAATTAATTAATTAATTTAATAATTTTGACTTTAAATATAGACAGACAAAATATTTTTCTAACTATTTAATAACTTAGATAAGATTCAAATTTTTCATAAATTCTCTGGTGTACTTATGTCATTGACATATTTTTAACTAAGTGAATAAGTTATTTCATCAGTGCAATTAATATCAGTACTATATTCAAAAAATCAGCAGTTTGATGTTTATTATTCTCAGAAAACAAAGCAACGTACAAGCCAAACAACACTGAATTACATTGGGTTACTTTTCTGCAATTATATTTAATTAATTACTAAATAATTTGTCACTAGAGGGGGGCATTAGGTGCCATCTCCTCATTAAATTTAATAATTATAATTAAATTAATACTTATTAAATAATTTAAAATATTCTGGAAGAAAAGAATTGGTCCATAGCAGGACTCAAATTATAAAGTCTTGCTTACCTTGCAGATGTGTTGCCAGTTATGCCACCCAAGCTTCCAGTCTGATCTCCTCTTCCAGACATATTTAAGTATGATATAGTCATCTTCAGTTACTTACAGTGCTGACTGGGGATGCCTTTAGCACCCTTGTCTTATAAACTGTTATTCATGGTACTCAGCCAGCCATCTCTCAATTCCGGTATGATATATATATGTAAACAAACATCATAAAAGGTTTCATGATGTTTGTTTATGTAAAGCAATATACTAATAAATTTTATTATATTGAATGAAATTGTAAGCATGGACTTATCTACAAATAAAGTAATGTGTTATAGAACATTGGAATAAATTTGTAATAAAAACTTTAAAATCCTTTTTGATTTTTTCATGAAGCACTCAAGGCAATTTTGCAGAACATGGGTTGAGAACCATTGGATTAAAGAAACAACATGATGTTAATATATATCTATATTTTGTTAAAGAATATGATAGAAATAAAGTCATTTATTAAATTGTTAAATTTTCAATTAATAATAAAAACTTGATTATATAATTTAATTTGGTACTAAAAATATTTTAAAAGAACTGTTTTTAAGATATAAAGAAATTACAAAAAAAAATTTTTTTTTTTGAATAATTTCATCATCATAAATATTCCTTTGCTCTTAATGCAGAAATATTTTCTTTAATTTTAATTCTAGTTGATTCTTTCAATTTATGCACTTCATTAAAAACAACATGTAACATTTTAACAAATGACTTGCAAACTTTATTTATATTGATAATTCTGTTTATTATTATTATTATTATTATTATTTTTTTCATATTTTTTGGTAAATTTAACTTAAATATGTAACAAACAACTTCAGTAAAAAATGAATAAGTTTTATTACTTTTAAAAATTTTAGAACTATATATGCCAGTATACAATACTATATAGGCCCTTCGATGAGTTTATTATTGTGATTTTAGAGTCACCAAAAAAAAAAAAAAAAGGAAGAAAGTGTCTGAATATCAATAGGTAACTTATAGGTGTATGATGAAGTGTAATAATTAAAATAATCCTTTCTTGATTTAAGTGTTATCTGAATGTTTTTGTCACCTATGAAGTCAGAATAGGCTGAGAGTTTTTCTCATATTTTATACATATTAAATTAAAGTAATATCTAACCTCATTGAATAGTTTTTTTAAACTTTTGTCAGAATATGTTCTTACTTGACAGCAAGATTATTGATGCAACTAAAGTGTTGACCTACCAGTTTTGTGATTTGGGATCAAATCTGGATGGGTGAAAACCCCAAGAGTTTTACATGGCCCAAAAAAATTTTTCATGGTGGTCTGTTGAGGACGTCATACCTCATTATTCATCACATGGCCATTCTGTTGTGGGCATGGGCCAAATGTTCAATGAATATGGGAAAAAAAGGCCCTCTTAGTATCCAGAGTGGAAAGAGTCAAAAAAAGAAAAAAAAAACAAAGTGGTTTTTACTGCATTAGCATTTGTATATGTGTAAAAGAAATTAAATATTATCAATTAATACTAATCATTTTTAATTTTAAAATTTCACTGGATGATAAACTTTTCTTTAAAAATAAAAAGACGTAGTCGTTTTCAAAAACTTGGGTGATGATCATTTATTTCTTTTAAATGTTCCATAGTAAAAACTTCAGACAACCCGACCTTTCTTTTTAGGCTACGCGGCCGTCCTGGAAAAAGTTCCTTAAAAAACAGAAATAAACCAATTAAAAAGTAATAATTTTTTTCTTAAAATTGGAATTGATGACCTTATGACGTCTTGCTTTATTCATTCTTCTCCATTTGGGAGTTTTGGATCCTTATATCTGCTGGAAATTTGCGCTGTTTAATGTAGATTAGCGAAATTTTAAAATTAAAAAATTTTGTAATAATTTGCCAGTAGAGGGAGGAAAGAGGATAATCTAGCAGGGGTGGGCAAGCAAGAGTTCAGTGGGAGCCGAAATGTAGGTTTTGCAAAATGCATGGGAGCTGCAGTTCTGTACCATGATTTTATTATATAATATAAAACAAATATTGAATATTTTAATAAACATATTTTCACAAAATTGTAGAAATAAAATTGTAAAAATAATAATAAAAAGCAGAAATTAACACTTTCAGCAAGAGCCACATGTAACTCAAAAAGAGCCGCATTTGCCCATGTCTGTACCATAGTAATTATATTAAAATTTATTATTATTTTTTATCCTGTGACATGTCTATTAATAAAAAGCTTTTTATTTTTTAGCTGGCTATAATTATTTTGGTACTGAAAGAATGTACAGTGGAATTGATGGAAGAGAGTTGGAAGCTGACATTTTCTTTGGTGTTGTTTATTATCAAAGACTACGTCATATGGTTGCAGATAAATTTCAGGTTTTAAAAAATTTTTTACATATATATATTTTTTCTTAATTTGGAACAATACATAGAATATTTTGGATTTTAGATATAAATTGTAATTTTAAAATTACTATTTGGTACTTATCAATAATTTGTTTACAATTAGGTGCGGACAACAGGTCCTATTGATATTTTGACACACCAGCCAGTTAAAGGAAGAAAACGAGCTGGTGGTATCAGATTTGGAGAAATGGAAAGAGATTCATTACTGGCACATGGAACGTCATTTTTACTTCATGATAGACTTTTTAATTGTTCTGATAAGTCTATGGTAAGTTTATTTCATTATTAAACATCAAAATATTCTTAAAACAAAAAATAATAATATTTATTTTAATATATTTTTGCAGGCATACGCTTGTAGACAATGTGGCAGTCTTCTTTCACCACTTTTTGAAAAGCCTGTAACAGATGAAAATTTACCATTTAGTAAAGAGAAAGTTCCATCTTGGAAATGCATCACTTGCAATACTGACGATACAGTAGATATTGTCTCTATTCCTTACGTTTTTCGATACCTTGTTACAGAATTAGCTGCAATTAATATCAAAGTAAAACTAGACATAAGATAGTAAATACTGTATGTATATTTAATTTATGCAAATTTTCAATAATATATGATAAAAGTTATCATATGTGGGTATTGCAATGTTATATATATATATATATATATATATATATTGCATCAATATATAATTTTTCAAAATAGATTATTGCCTAAGATGAGTTGGGTAATAATATGAAAGAAATGTAAATTATTTTGTACATTTGTATAAAATAAAATACTTACTTATTTTATGTTGTCTTTTCTGATTGTATTATAATAATTTTATTATTGTTCAGTTAATTTATAATTAACAAGAGATTCCACAAGAATTCTGATTTTTTTCTGCATTCAAGTTTTCTGCACTCAATGTTTAAAATTTTTAGGAGTTTTATTTATCATTGTCACATGTTTAACTTAAAAACTTATTCAAATAATAAATTCAAAATCTTTTTTAAGCATTATATTTTTATTAAAACCATTCAAAGTATTACATTTTGTAAGTTATTTTTATCAGCAAAATGATTTTAATCTTAATTTATATTTTGTTTAGCCATTTTAATAAAGTATTAAAAAGAAGAGCAAAAAAAGAAATGTTAAAATATTTACTAAATATTTTTTAGTTATTAATTTTAATTATTTAATATTTATTTTTAGTTTCTTAACATATTAAATAAAATGTTGTTTGTTTATACAGTAATACCTCGACTTACACTACCCAGACTTATGCAAACCCAGAGTTATGCCATTTTAAAATCTTGTTGATTTGTCTTTTGTTTGAGTGCCACGCATCTCTTGATTACTCATTCCCCCCACACTATTGTTCGGCTTACATGTTCGGACGTGTCGCGCGGAATCGACACATAGCTACAATTTATTTTGTGTTATTTATTTCTGTGTTTGTTATATCTACGGAAACTTGAGAGACTCTATGTGGCGATTTCTTGTAACCGTGAACGAATCAAAAGACGAGATAAGATTAATGAGAACATTTATTAGCTTACATACATCCAATTTGGATTTTACACAAATTGCGAAATTATACCCCGACTTACAAGAATTCGACTTATGCGGTTATTGCTCGGTCCCACTTATCGCGTAAGTTTGGGGTATTACTGTAATTTACAAAAAATTTTAAAATTTCCCAAGCCACTGTTTCTTATTCACAAATTTTCCAAGCATTTTTTTTAATGGAATATTTAATTTATTCTTTGATTAAAAAATATAATTTTTGAGTATGTATTTTAAATTAATTTGAAATTAAATTATTTGTGTAAAAGCTATAAATTCAATTTTAGGAAAACATTTAAACATAATTCAAGTTATTGTAATTAAAGTATCCTTATTCAATGCTGTCTAGAGAAAGATTTATTAGTGCAATTGCAACCTTATTTGGTATGGTGACATTTCAGGACATGAAAAACATTTCTATAAAAATGTTGATATATTAAAACTCACTAATTTGGCACTTTGAATTCATTTGATGGTTATGGGGACATCTGTCATCACCTTTGGAATAAAGACCACATTGAAAAGTATCCCTTGCATCATTAAGATTACTATAGCATAAATGTCTTGTATACAAGCAAAATATTCTAAGCTTGCAATGCCAAAAATTTCATAGTAGTGAGTTTTGATACTAATTTTTTATGGAAATATTTTCCACATGTCCTGAAATGTTACCAAATCAGATTGAGTGTAATTGGGATTGCTAGATATCTCTGTAGACAGTATTGAATAGGGAGTACTTTAATTATAACCACCTGGTATTTCTAGAAGAGGATGAAAAGATTTAAGAATTTTTCTAAACTTCATCAGGTGATTCTATTCCAGGTTCTAGATTTTTTGCCCTCTTCCAAAGATTATATATTTTAAATTCAGGTAGACTCTATTTGAATTATAAGATAGTGTTCATACTCCTTAATATTTCACTATGTGATTATTTGTGTACTTCATACAAAAAATGTTAACTTGTTTCTCTTAAATATTTAATGACTGAAATTGTTTTTTTCTTTTATTAAGTTGCTTTTTTTTATATAAAGCATAAAAATGATTTTGTTTTACTGAAAGTAGTTTAAGTAAATGAATGCAATGCCATACAATACAATGTTATGTTCATTTGGCAAAATTTTGCCATATGCCAGGACATTACAGTGACTGCAATAAACACTCATCAAATTCTTTCAAAAATTTTATTGTATTTGTTAAAAGACGAATATAATCTTCCTAAAATAAAATATAAAATATTTTACATGTGCAGAAGCAAAACATTAATAACCCTCTTTTTTACAATTCTAAAATATAATAAGCAGTCAGACATTTGTTGTTGATAAACAAATATGCAGACACAGAGAGGTTATAAGTGCTACTAAAATGATATTAAGCTTTATCGTTATCACTGATAGTTTAATTTTTGTTGTTTTAGAAAAACTGAAATAATATTTTTAATTATCTATGATTCTCAAACACAATCGTGATACTATTTAAACACTTAGCGTTTTTTCATCTTTATTCAGTTGATACGAGTATTACTACACGTTTCGGGCACTGCCCCTCATCAGCCTACTAAACATTAAAAAAGTATACATAAAAAATTTTTTAACAAGACAGCATCACACAGAAAGGCTATTTTACAAAAATATATATCTAAATGTTTAAATTCATTCGCGAGATGTACCATTAGATTCCTTACAAACTTGAAAGGTGTACACATGTATAAGAGTAATGCAGTTTCGTACATCTGCCTAGATAAATTTTACACACTTTTTTACAAACTTATATATTCTTTATATTTATAAGAAATTTACAAAATACAACCTACCTTAAGTTTTACAATTATATTATATTAATTAACTAGTGAGACTCAGAATACACTTTCTCAACAATGAAATCAAAAGTAGGCTTCACCAACACGAAATTTATGTACATCAAGTTTATAAACAAGTAATTGATACATAAGTATATAAACAGTATATGAATATTAAAAAGATGTGTAATTTGTAAAGTAGAACTTAATTGGGTCTATTAGTTGGTGTTTCTTTTATTTGTAAATTCAAAAAACAAAATATATCACCTCTATGTACAAGCAAGACCAAATGTTGGAATTGTTTATCATAATTTAAAACTTGCTCCTCAGGTAATGTCCTTTTTAATATTAGTATACTGTTTATGTACTTATGTACTTTTTTAATGTTTAGTTGGCTGATGAGGGACAGTGCCCGAAACGTGTAGTAATACTCGTATCAACTGAATAAAGATGAAAAATCGCGAAGTGTTTAAATAGTATCACGATTTCGGAAAATTGAGAATATTTTTAGTGTTTGAGTTAAATACAATTTTGAGATTATAAATACGTATGTCAACATTTAAATAAAATTGTAGTATGTTTTGAGAGTTGTTTTTTGTTAATAGAGTAGATTAGCTTGTTACTTTCATAAGGTAGGAGGAGATCTGAAGACATAATGATGATAAAAGATTGTTATGAAAACAGAAGTTTCTCTGAATAAAATGACAAAATGAATACGTTTTGTATTTTATTTGAATTTGTGTTGAAAATTGTTACACGACTGCTCGATATTAATTTTTATAGTGTTTTCATCCAAAATTACACTCGTATTATTTATGAGCATTAATTTACATTAGAATTTGAAAATTTATTGTCTGGGTTGATTACTGGTAAAGTTTAAGCAAGATTAATGCAATGTTTGCAAAGTTTTTTCGTATTAAAATTTATTTAATATCTTCTAAGCTTTCGATGTTGCTTTTAGCACTGAATTTAGTCACGCGGCCATTTATTTGTTGTATTGTTAATTTAGTCTGTAATTTCCCTGGAAAAATAATTTATGTAATAACTGCATTGCTAAAAAACAATTAAATACTTTTTAATGCACAATGCATTAACTTCTAATTTATAGCATATTCATGTAATTATTACCAGTCTTTTATATTAGATACATAGAGAGTTCCTGGCGAATTCTCTCTTGCGGGTCGCGCTGGCATTAATGCGAAAATATTTGTACCAATCGGAAGTACAGATTTCTTGACGTAAGAGATAGGGAATTTCAAGATGTCAGAGAATTTAGCACGTTCCAGCTACGATATTGAATAATTTTTTTATGGAAATAATTCCGTGTTTTGTTTGGCAAAAAAGACACCTTTATTACAAGGATGTTCTTTTAAAGGACATTGATTACCGAACGCTGTTATTTTACTTAGAGTAAGTTTTTTTAATTTTTAAAATTTAAAAAGCCTTAAATACATATTAAAATATATTATTTCATATTTGTCACACGAAATAATTCTTAGTTTAATAAAATTATTAGAGAATGCAGACTATTTGATATGGCATTTTTTCTAAAACATCTTGTGTATAAAATGCAAAAAGTTAACATCAATTCTTGTCGGGCGCCATTTTGTTTTAAATTAATTAATGACGTTTGCCTTTACTTATACGTAATTTCGCGGATGGCAAGTGAGAAACGAATTCGCTAAACGAAATTAAATCGTTTCTCGCGTTTTGTGTTCGCTAGCGAATGTTAAGCATTTTGGAAAAACGTTATAAAAGTTCGTTCTTGTGCTACACATGAATTTATATACCGCTAGTTTCTTTACAGAAATATAAATTTGAAAAATGTACAAATATCGTGTCGAAGTTTGAAATTTCATTTCAATATATACAATACCACATTCCCAATTATTTATTGTTATTAATGCCGGTGGCCGATTAAGACCTTCCGGGATCACAGAAGATTGGGGAATGGTTCTTCATATAATTTAACGACATCATAAACTAATAACGTCGAATTTACATTAGAACTTTATACATTATGATTACAATTGAAACGGTAAAATTGCTTTATTTTGTATTTAGGAGACCGAGGCCCCCTAGATGTACCTCATACCTCGTCGGCAATCCGGTACTACATGTCCTCATTCTAACTTGAGGTGCACTTTCCAGATTTGTCTCTGTTCCTCTCGTTTGAGTTATATCTAGAATTCTAGTTTATTATTATTTTTTTACTGTCGTTT